TATCAACATATGGTATATGGGCAGGCAACACTAAAGCTATGAATTTGCTAAGTATTCTTACTATTTTGTTTCCCGGTTTAACCCATAAGTGGGCTAGTCCAGTCATAAACAAACACCATTCAACAAGTGATGATTCAGTCTTTTGGTTTTTCCAATTTTCTTTCAATATTATAAAATTATGTACATTATTAATGACCAAACAGTGGTATGTCTTAAATATTCGTTAATTTATAATATTTGGTAATCACATTATTCAATTTAACACCTTGCGTAATGAAGTAGCGTAACTATATCGCTTCTTGATGTATATCATTGTTTCCACATTTTATGCACAGCCACGATTGTAGCGGGACACAGTGTTTGACGTGTCTGTCTTCCGTCCACCTGCCTCTCAGTAAGACTATGCCTTTAGCTCAGTTTCAAAGAAGCTATTCAAGAATTTTTTTTCTAGAAACATGCACTGATACAAATTTGTGAGAACTACATGTATTCAACTGTGTCCAAAGTGTATGACTTTGACCTTAATTTTTTATTTTGCCCCAAGCCAACATGTATATCCCAACATGCGGGTGTATACTATGTTGTGCTCGGGGTGTATGCTTTCGAAGCGATAAAAAGGGGGTCATGGTACGTTTTCTGTCCAATTTCTCAATCCATGGATACATTTCGCCGGAAAGCATATGCTCACGGAAGAAAGCATTATTTTAGGAGTTTATGGATACATAAGACACTACTCTACACTTTCTAGTTTTATTAAACACCTCAACACAGTTCCCAAGATCAGAGCAAGATTGATTTTTCATAACTGGGTTTTTATGATCAAATATCAGTACAAAGCTTCGCTATATCATCACATTTATATAACTATTCAACACATGTTATTTATATTAATGTATGTATAAATTGTCTTGATATAAAATTGATCGTATTTAAGATATTGACGAAAAATGAATACTGTGCTCGGGGTGCATGCAACCTGTTGGACTTGGGGTGTATACCCTCTCTTTTTCTTACAAATGTTAGTACGAATTATCATTGAAAATATTATACATACAAGTTTATACCGGTAAGCGACAGAAAGTGTTAAAAAAAACCTTAATGCCGAACCAAAAATTAATTTCCAAAAACATACTGACGTACAAAATAACAAGCTTAAAAATATTAAAGAAAGACTCAATTAAATATTGCAAAAGGAACGATCACCAACAGTCATTAACAGAATTGGCGCTAGATGGTTTGCAACTAACGAAAGTTATCTGAATTGACGCTAGATGGTGCACACGTATAAATCTCATGGAATCACCCCAAAGCCCCCCCCCCCCCCGCCCCTGCATTGAGGACACTTTTACCCTTCTTCACCGTGTTTTAATATAACACAAACACTGTGTGTATTGTGTATTATGAGTAAATATTTTTTTTTTGAAAAAGTGTGCAGATAACGAACAGTGATCGATCTCATACGAACTTCAAAGAATACAAATCTGTGAACAGGACATTAACACAGACCATTGTAAATTCATATGTATAATCAAAATTTGTTTGCCATTCATATTTTCTTTCAGTTTCATCAATAGATGGATTCATTATATTCCCTCATTTGAAAAGATCTCATATTTTGCCACATCATTTTAAACAAGTAAAGTCGATTACAAAAATGAACCGTTTTAAGGGACGACCATTTTCTGCGGTTGTGGGATAGGGGTGGTACACTGTTATTAAAGAGATAATTAGCTACTCTTGGATACAATTTAAAATTTCACCACTCCTGGAATTTTCAGTTATTAATCTCTATATAGTAAAGTAACCCAAAAAATTACCTCGGATCCCCTAGAATATTGTATCCCTTGGGCATAGTTAACAGCACATAAATAATTCGAAGGAAAGCAAATTGTCCTTATAAGCCCCCCCCCCCTTCCATGCACCACAATAGACTAAGTGTCTTGGAGATTCAAAAACGTTGTTTGTCTTTTTTAAATTATCATAATTATCATTATTTATACTTTAAAAATTTTATTTTACTTGTCCAAAGATTTCTTTCTTTTTCATTTTTGATCTACGTCTAATTTATTAAAATCATCATAATGCATTAAATTCACACTTATTACTGTTCAGCTTTGAACATGAATCATTCACAGCTTACAGTTTTATTATGCTATGGTATTTTAATAATAATTTTGAAATATCATTTTTGAACCTAAATTAATTAAGTAACTCATCCCTGTAAACAGAGGTGGGGTCTGTTTACATTATGCGATGTTTATGACATAACGAAAAGACAAAAAAAAACTATTTATTTGAAGTCATTTAGAAATATTAATAAATATTTTTAATAAGCAGAAATTATGAAAGACATAAATTCTAATTGTTAAAATGATGCATACTAAACATTCATTAGGAGAACATCTTGATGAGTTGCCTTTAAATTGAAAAGAAGTGGGTGATTTTTTGGTCATCACATTGGGTCTGTTGATCTTTTATAAGCTAGTTCGTTTTGTATTTGAGAATATTTTTGAATATTAACTGTTCGTTTTGAATTAAGGTCCTTTTTAAACCTTAACATTTGATACATGTCATCATAAACTTTCACTGTAAGGTCAATCAAAATAGAATGATTTAAAAGGGCGACTAACATGTATCGTCCTGTAAATCGATTTCATGTACCCCGAGTTGCTCTATATTACAAAACCGGCGAATGATATAAATATTTAATAGTACCGTAAGAACAATCACTTGTATACGTTATATTTTAATGATATTTCGCATCAGGACATTAAGAAAAATAGGGGGTATACACCTCTGATCCAACAGGTTGCATACACCCTTAACACAAGAACATTTTTCGTTAATATCTTTTAATACGAGCTAATTTCCAGACAATTTATACATACATTAATATAGATAACATGTGTTTAACAGTTATATAAAAGTGATGATATAGTGAAGCTTTGTTCCGATATTTGATCATAAATACAATCCCTCCTCAAAATTTTATGGGTTCAAAGTAGAAAAACTGCATTCATTTTCATAGAATGTAGATTATATTAATAAATAATGGCAAAAATATATAGTTTGCCATATTTTTTAAGATGTAAGACAAAAATAAACAGAAGCATATGTCAACATTAAAATTTGTACATTTTAGTAAACATTATTATAAAAATAATGTAGATTCACAATTGTGATGCTGAAAATTCTACCTTACTGCTTCTTTATAATGTTTGAATGTGACTTTTAAGGAAACCATTCTACATTAGAAATACAATTAAAAAATGCCTGAATATATTACATGAGAAGGAGTAATTGCCCTTGGCAACATTTATTAAAGATTGAATAGTTGGATTAAATAAATAAAAATATTCAATTTTTTTATTCTTTTCTAAACAAAATTTGTTATTTTACATATTGAAAAGCATTCTTCCAAAAGATATATTTCTATGGGGTATGAATTTAAATTCATAAGTTTTTGCAAGAACATATGACATCACAGGAGGGTGGAAATACCTTAAATAATGCTTTCTTCCGTAAGCATATGCTTTCCAGCAAAATATGTATCCATAGATTGAGAAATTGGACAAAAAAAGTACTACCTTGACCCCCTTTTATCGCTTCGAAAGCATACACATCGTTCACAACATAGTATACACCCCACATGTTGGGATATACATGTACATGGTGTTATATATGTAGCTCAAGAGAAACCAGATATTTTTATGCAAGTCAATGCACTTCTACATTGAAATGTTATCCAAATACATGTACATTCAACGTATATCCTTGTTCTTTGAGATGAAAAAAATATGTTCACATAATTTTTTTTCTTTTCATTCTTCTTATTTGTTCCAAACAAGTTAAAAAAAAAATCATGGTGCTTTCTTATATACAAGGTCCTAAAAATGTACGGTTATGAAATATTTTAAGCCCCCCCCCCTTCAATAAATTGATGGAAACTTTCAGCACTTTTCTTGCTTATACGTTATATTGATTGCATTAGTCAGGCAAGTTTTTTGAAAAACTATTACTTGTGTTGTTTCATCTTCGCTAGCCAAGGGCTTCTGATACGCTACTCTCCTCATAAGCCCTCTCCTCATAAGCCCTTGGCATACGGTGTTAAAAAAAGTTGGGATTTTTTCTCAAGTTGTGATTGGAGTTGATCGACATCGTTCGACCAATCAGCAATTGTTTTTTGTAAATGACGATATTTGCGTTCGGGATATATCTTGACTCTTTAATATCGGTAATGTAAAACGCAAGTAAACAATGATCCGTAGGATAACATGCCATTCTATGAATAGCAATATGGTGTCATCCTATTTCTAAAGCAACGTGCAAAATATGTGATTAAGAATCTATACTGAAGATGTAGATTTGCATTTTAACATGTTTAAATAACAAATTAACATAACTCAATACCTTCTTGTTAATTATTCTTTAAAAAACAAAATTTTTTAAAATACGCTTTTTATTTCTGTCGATGACGCAATCTGTGCGTACCTGGTAAGAATCATGATCACGTGACAAAAACAATCCCGTCTTTTGTCAGCACCGTATGCCAAGGGTTTATGAGTAGAGTAGCGTATCAGAAACCCTTGGCTAGCGAAGATGGTGTTGTTTATAGTTACCGATAAACTCACAGCTTTCATTCTCTATTTTTTTTATTGTATAGACCTGACGACTTGAATTTCATTTTGGAATTAAATCTTGGCCGATAAATGGAAACATTGTTACCAATCAATTTTATCTCCATACATGTAGGCGAATACATACTTAAATGACAAAAAATTTAAAATCATGCGCTGCTTGACGACTTCCACACATAAAGAGACCAATTGGCGGCAAAAATATCGAGATTAGAAGCTTTATAATACGAATTGCATCAACAAAATATCTCATTTTACTGCTAACATTAAAGCAATAGTACAAATTGCATCAACAAAATATCTCATTTTACTGCTAACATTAACGCAATAAATTGAGTTAACAAGAGATGTTATAACTTTTAGGAGTGTCCTCGGAATGTAATTTCGAGAGGGACGTTAAACAACATACAATCAATCAATCAATCGGAATGTAATTTGCTAGGGATATCCCAATGCTTTCAAGGGTTGAAGATGCCGGACATGGATTCAACGCCAGATCTTCAGACAGCATGCACGTGAGTAGTGAGAGTGATATTGCTTTCAAACGTACGTGTACTAACCATTCATACTCAGAGAGGTTCATTTCTGAATACAGTGTATTAGATGAAGTGGTGAATTAATTTGACTGTACTTAAATATGGCAAATTAAATATTCTTCCCCTTTCTTCTAGAGCATCAAGTTTTGTTTTTCAAACATACAAAATAAGATAGAAATTACCATAAATTTGTCATGGAAATTGATTTAAACTGAATTTCCTTGTGGAAATCTTTTCTGCAAATAATCTTACTTTAGGACAAGGTTAAATCCTCTATATTCAAAACGGTGTAAAGTATGAGATCCAAACCATCTGCTTTACGAAGTGATGTTCCTGATTACAATTCAGTACGTATTCTGTTAATCTTTGTGATCTTTTTTCCGTCTAAATGATCATTATAAGAATTCATTATTTAAGGAAGTCAGTTCCTCAGGTTCTGAAAATAAAAGTAACTGAAAATGTTCACAAAATGTCACTGAATCCCCAAAGTAATGTATATCTACCCGTGTTATTTCAGAATACATGAATAAAAGCACCCATTATGCATTTTTAATTGAAAATTTATCATCATGTATATTTCATGATAAAAGCATAGGTATCCAGGAATTTGCGAAAATGTGCATGTTTCAATACTTATGCGGTATTATAGTTCTTCTATTAACTTCAACTGTTATATAAAACATAGTGTTAAAAAGCAAGACTGTAGTATCATTGCAAGATATCACAGAACATTTCAAATTTCATTTCATGCTAATAAACATCCAGATTTCTCTAAAAATATTATTCTTTTATATAGGGTGCAAATGTTTACTATTTACAAGGCCGTTTTTAAGACTTCAAAGAACTTGAATCATATTAAGAATCATTAAAAATGATTTAAAACATGAAATGAAATTATTGCACCAAAAAATGTTCAATTTTAAGCTTAATTTTGAGGCTTTTTAATTAAGTAATGATTTTAAGAGTTATTGTCCTGGCTGAGGAGCAGATATCCGTACAGTGGTATGTTCCGTATCCTTTGATAGAGAGACTACATATAGTCAGGAGAAAAGGGATTCTAGACTAGGATGTTTCAGAAAAAATGTCTAGTGTAGGATTTCGCCCACGGATATCACACACTGTTGGAAATTAGCTCATGTTCTTCCACTATTTAAGAAAGATGACCTTTCCATCACTTCATATTATACACCAGTTTCTTTGTTGATTTGTATAAGCAAAATATTTGAAAGAATTTTTTTTAAAACATGTAAACAATGACCTTTTTTTTTTTTTTCTTTTTTTTTACAATTATCAAATATCAAGCAGGTTTTTTTACCATGCCATTCCACAATACATGTATAGTATACCATTCTATAGTAAAAAGTATTGAGGTAAATTCTGCTGTATGGTGTTTTGTGATTTATCTAGAGCATTTGATAGAGTCTAGCATAAAGGCTTAATTTACAAACTAAAACCGTATGGAATCAAGGGTAGATTGGTTAATAGTTATTTATAAAACAGAACACAAGTCATGTATAGAAATCCTTTTTCTCTGTAGGACATGTAAAAGCTGGAGTTCCAGGGCTCAGTACTCGGTCCATTGTTATTTTTATTGTATGTAAACGATGTGGATGAAAATATGATATATGTTTGTAGATTATAAGCAGATGCTAATTCGTTACAACAATGTTCAGATAATAGTTATCATACTGAGCAAAATCTTAATCATGATCTTAGAATACTAGATGAATGGTCAAAGAAAAGGTTATTGAAATTTAACCCACAAGACCAAAGCTGTATTTTTTTCATTTAAAAAATGTGCATCAGTTTCCTAAATTATTTTTTGACAATTGCCAATTAGAATATGCTACAGAACACACACATCTTGGGATACTACTGTCTTCCAACTTAGGATGGTCTTATCATATTGATATCATTGTAAAGAAAGCTTACAAAAAACGGGGGCTACTAAAAAAGCTAAAATTACTGTGTCAAGAGATATTCTATCCCAGATGTATATATCTTTTATTGGTCCATAACTAGAATATGCTGTTGAAGTTTGGTCTGGATGCACAAAGACAGACATTGAAAACCTTGAAAAAGTTCAATTAGTTGCTACAAGAATAGTTATTGGGCTTACAATTATTGCTTCAAGAAATTCCTTATGTTTGGAAACAGGTCGGGAAACTTTGGAATACAGAAGAAGCAGAGCAAAACTAATAACAATGTATAAAATGCACAATAATTTAGTACCTACTTATATACAAAATTTAGTACCTGATACAAGAGGCAATATTACAAGATGCACTACTAGGAATTCCTTAAACTATTCTTTGCCAAAATATAGATTAGAATTATTTAACAAATCATTTATTCCTGATACTGTCAAAGTGTAATTTCCTTAGTGTTAAAGCAAAGGTGGCAATTTCTATTAACATTTTTAAGAACTGTTTACAAAACAATATTGTAAAACCTCAGAAATATTCTTCATATGAAAAAGGTTTTTGAACATAATTCATACAAGATGACTTACAAGTCATGTACTCAATGACAATTGAAAATTGTTAAATAAATGAAAGGCACTGGTTTACACTGACAAAACTATAGTAGTACTGCAATAAATTTTACAGTTTAAAAATAGGCGTATGGTTTTGAATTTAGATTAGAATTGTGTATTAACGTATCCGCACACACACTCACGGACAAAATAAACTAAGTGCTAATTGTAACGGGAACCATTACTGATGTTTCCCCAACACCCCCAACTCCCCTATGGGCCTAATTCCCTATAAATTGGAAATTCTTTTGTTTAATAAATTTACACTTTATTTGCAGAAGTATTTAATCCAAAAAACAACGCCGATATAGTCCTTTTTAAAGCATTAGCCAATCATAATTCAGAGCACGCGCATGCCCATGTTTTCTAGATATTTCACATGTCTTCCTCATGAAGAGACTCACAATAAATACATATGTAAGAAATCTCAAAGCTATATAAGTATTAGCCAATCAGAATCCAGCACACGTGCATGCACATTCTTGCATTCAATTTTGATAGTAGCACAATGTAGGAACCCTTTATACCTATTTATATTCTATATTTCATCCTGTTTTGTTGAAAACTTAGAAAGTTACAGCCATTTAAAGTTTAAGCCAATCAAATTGCAGCACACATGCATGTGCGTGTTTTCACGATATCTCATATATATCATAATGTATGTTTTAAATTTCAAAGTATTTCGTCAAAAAAACAAAAGCAATACAGGAGTGGTATCATTCCCCCTCCCATTTCTGACGGGGGTTACTCTATATTTGATTTTGATGATGGACATGCAGCTGAGCAATACAGGTCACGTAATAAAAAATTTCTATGTATACATTACCTTTATAAAAAAAGAAAAGAATCTCTCTCTCTCTCTCTCTATATATATATATATAGAGAATAATACATGGCAAAATCTGTATCACACCCCATATCAACCCGAGACTCCAATATCAGCCCGAGGGCCGAAGGCCAGAGGGCTGATATTGGTCGAGGGTTGATATGGGGTGTGATACAGATTTTGTCTTGTATTGTTGTTTTTATTATATATTTGAAAATAATGTCTAAAAATCATATATAAACTTGTAAATTAATTACTGAATTTTTAATAATTGAATGTTTACCGTTCTGTTTTTGTTGAATTTCCGTTTCTCAATCTTTTTTAAAGGCAAATAAATGCATTCAGCGATAAGAAATGAAATTATTATAAATCAAACAAATAATTATTTTGAATAATATAAAATGTCTGATGACATAAAATTACAATTTGAAGAAACTTTGGAAAGAAATAGGAAAAGATCCGAGGTACTCCGAATGAAAAATACAGAGATGTTCCGGAAAGGTGTAATAAAGGGTGAAATAAAGGGTGCTGATACAGGGTGTGTAATACAGGGCGCGTGCCTGTGTTCATATTAGGGATGCAAAAATCCTGTATTATATAACAAATATATAATAAATATATATATCTAGGTTTTGTTTTTATTAATATCATTTCCTTTATATAGAGAGGATTGCTTTTTTTAAAATATATATTTACAGGATTGGTAATGATGGGTTTTCTTAATTTTGATGTATGTTCTTATGCAGTAAATGGTAGTAAGGTTTAACATTATTATTTATAAGTTTTTATGTGTATTTTACAGGTCATACAGACAGGTGATAAACTGTATTGAGCCGTACAAAAGCGCCTGCGCAGCAGACTCAACCTTCCAATCGATGATGAGTAGTCTCAATATGGTGTCTGGATACTGTGGCGGTAACTATTAACAAGTCCTTTATATAGCTATCATAATCCCTTTACAGCAGTGATTGGGAAGGCCATAAAGGTCAATGGGACTATGGCGCAACTGTCAAAGTTTTTAATGGGCCATTTTGAAAATGAATGGGCCATCTATATATTCTGATGGGCCATTTGAAGAAAAAACAAAATGACAATCAAAATGTGAAATAGGAAAGGAAACACGTTTCTTTATTAACCAAATCTTATTTTTCACGTATGGAGCATTGTACATTTAATGGAACCCGCGAACAATATAATTTTCTCATATTTCGGATCAATAACGTCAAAATCTCAATTAAACATGGGAAATGAGTGAGGTAATGTACCTTTGATGTCCTAAATGAAGCGCTTCATGTAACAGGAAACAGTTTTTGCCGGGTTTTAACCAATGAAATTTGTTGTATTAAAATGACTGCATTTAAAACGAAAGTAAAACAAGCAAGAAAGTCGTACGCAATATATTTCCAACTAACATCGCTAAATTTTGAATGCGCACCTTGGCGCCACCAATGGTTGATTTAATGCGCCAATTTTCACTTCAATGCGACTATGGCGCGTGGCGCAAGCCCTTCCCAATCACTGTTACAGTGTGAAAAAGAAATACAAAATAAGTTTTTTTTCCTATGGATGCTTACTCCTCTATGGCATCTGATCCAACCTCTAAAGTTTTAGAGGTTCGTGTTTGCTCTGCTCACAATCTTCATTGTTTGAATGGACTTTTGAGAATGGTTACTGTTCTTTATCTTCATATTTCATTCTAAATTGATTAGTATTGTCCGAAAGTTTTGCTTAAAATTTATTTGTCGATTTTTTCTTCATATTAAACGTTTTAAAGACATACATGAAATATGAAGATAACGAACAGTATTCAATCTCGAAAGTCCAATGAAACGATACAAATTTAGAGCAGAGCAAACACGGACCTCAAAATTTAGAGGTGGGATCAGGTGCCATGGAAGAGTGAGCATCCCCTGTCGACCGGTCACATCCGTCATGTTTGAGGGTTCTCCATAAGGTTCGTGCACAATGGCGTTTTTGTCAAAATAAATTTTCCAGATATACTTATTTTATGCTTAAATATCTGTTAGGAAAAACTAAGTCAGAATTGTTTGGTTTTTGATTGTTTGAATTGCACGGCCAAGGGTTAAAAGGTAATAAACTTTGAAATAAAGTGTTCTGATTAAAAAGATTATTTTCTGTATAAAACAAGTAAAAGCTTAGTAAAATGAAATATGGAGATAACGAACAGTATTCAAGCTCAAAAGTCCATTCAAACAATACAAATCAGGAGCAGAGCAAACACGGACCTCTAAAACATCAGAGGTGGGATAAGGTGCAATGGAGGATTGAGCACACGCCGTGTGCTCCTTGTCATGATCGGGAAATAACGGAAGTCATCACGTTTATCATAAAGCTTGGTTTAGGTTACCATTAACGTCTTTTTCTAGTAAAATATCCAAATATCAATTAGATGTATCAGACTGTGGTATCTTTTATTTCAAGGTCACTGGGATATATCGAGTCGACATATGAATGAAATTAACTATTGTTAATTCATTATACATCGTCCATATATCTAAATGTCGATATGAAGGCCACATCAAGTGTTTTCTTCTTCTCATCTATAAGATTTTGAATAAACTCTGCTTCATATGAATACAAAAATAGGTCTGTTAATATAAATAAAGTGGCTATTGCCATTTTCTGATATCTTTAGTATTGCCTATACTATACAGATAGTGTAAATTAAGAAAACACCGCAAGAAATATGTTTCAAAAATTTACAGAAAAAGCAACGTCGGCCATTCGAATGGAACAGTGTCCAGTCGTAAAAATTATGTTTTAATACCGTTGAAACGACGTCAGAGACAAAATATTTATTCTTACAACTAGAAATTACTTGACCATTAATTTGAAATTGGTAAACAGGATTTTTCAACGGTATGTACAATTTGAAAGACACTACAAGAAGTGTAAAACACTGTAGATTGATGAAAATACATGAAGGATATCCCAATTCAGCGCAATGTCGGACTGGCTTACGCAACCTGTGTATACGAAGTGTTTATACTGATGTCACTCGTAAATTATCGTGTATTGATTTTAATTTTAAAAATTAAATCAATTATGGTCTATATATAAATATTATTGTACACGCTAAGAAGTATGACACTATAAAGGAAGTATAGCTTGTGTCCATGGACATGTTATTAAAATTCAATATCCATATTTTTGACGTTACATATATCATGAAACTAGCTTACATCAGACTGGGCCTTGCGGCTTGCATATACAAAGTACATATATTTACACCTATAACATTCGCAAAATAGTATTATTGTTTTAATTTCTATATATTTACAAAATCATGGTCTATATTAAAATATTATTGTAAACGTGTTCCAGTGCGGTTATTGTTAAGAAATGTATAGCATGTGTACACGAACGTTATGGACAACCCTCGTACACGCCGTTCAAGTCTTATCTTCATCACTGTTCACTTGTTGGCAGTAAAATAATCCTCAATATGTAATATTCTCTAAAGGTTTTTCATTCTCAGGATAAAAATGAAAATAAATATCAAATAATACACATTAAAATTAGATTCTTACTTTTGGATACCATGTTTTATGTTAATGCAATTTCTACATCTGGAAAGGGCAAGAATTACACTTTCACATATATAGTTATTGTTAATATGTTAGCGCCGTGAAATAAAATAATCTCATAAACTGACAAAGAAGTGTTAAGCTGAGGAAATATTCAAGGACACTTAGAACATTTTTTACACGGAATAAGCATTATGAAAATTGTAGGTGATTCCAGCTGCAATGTAATGAAATGCTACACCGATGCTGGGATTAATATGGATAATAGTGGAAGTGGCTTCCCTAATATAAGCTGGTAAATTTCTCCTCTACTGAATTTCATCATGTTTAATATTATTTATTCACAATTTGTTTCGTGTTTATTCATCCACAATTTAGGACTTTCATGTAATTAAAGTTTGTTTGACCAATTGCGTTTTTTCTTGTTAACTTTTCTCTACACTAGATATTTTTTGGAACACACACACACACACCAAACGAAAATGATCTTTTCTTTTTTACACCACGATAGGCAGTGTTATTTATTCTTTACCAGTTAATGATTTGTTTTTTTGAATTGTTGTAACACATCTTAAATTCCATTTAGTGAAGTTTACGTAGCAGTGAAAACCTGTTTAGACGCTCAAAGCAGTGCGTGTCAGGGAAACACAATATACTCTACGGTTCAAGATGCTCTCAAGCCAGTGGAAAAAATGTGCAGCTCTGCAGGTAAAATTTACCATGATCAATCAGAATGAATAAGGTAACTACTTCATATCCCATGTGATGCTCAGAAAATGCTATTAGATGAAATTCTTTGTGGCTCAAGTTTTGTTCCTCGCATTCTGTATATTATCGGAGTGAAATGTAAAAAAGAAATCCTGCACTTCATAATTAGCTCTACAACAGCTATTTGAGCTGTGCCGAGGAGATGCTTACTCCTCCATGGCACCTGGTCCCATCTCTGATGTTTTAAGATTTCTACTCTACTCACGATTTGTATTGTTTCGATGGACTTTTGAGCTTATTACTGTTCGCTACCACTATATTTCATTGAGTAAACAAAATGTTACAAATTTTAGGAGTGTCTTAGGAATGTGTCTTGGTAGAACTGTCAAAATGTTTCCAATGGTTCATTGTCAGAAATTTTAATGTTTCTATTCAAGATAAAATAAGATTCTTTCTGGTCCCATAATTTATTTGGATAAAAAATATTCGAGGATAATCTTCCAAAAATTGATCTATGTATTAGACGTAATTACAGTGCAAAAAGGTCATAATAAATGCTCTGTATCGCCAAAAGTAGCGCACTGACCTCATTTTTGTTTTGATTTTTCATTAAGCTAGGTGTGTAGATTCTTAAAATATACTTGATAAAAAATTATTCATACTTTCGATAGCAGGATCCAACCTTAATACCAATTGTTAACCTATTTTAATTTTCAAGAGATACTCGGCAATCTCTTGTCTCTTGAAAATTAAAAAGAATTAAGGTACTCGAGTTTGATAAAAACCGGATAATAACTCATATTGGTTATGGAACCTAAATTCTTCCATTATCAAGTGCGTTTCTTAACTCCCGTACAGATGTTTCTTTTTCGTGTTGAAAACATGCTAGGACACATCCAGGATGATTGAATGTTTAAACCTACGGCGATTCTTTTTGAGTGCTTTTTCAGGGTCTACTCAAGTTCATGTCTATGATGGCATATTAAAATGCAAATTCAGATTACGTTTGTAAACATGTACGATTATTATTTTTTCTTTAAATTTTTCCTTTGTATATTTCATTACGACTGATCATGGAGATATATTACCAGGGACGTATATACTAACGGGATAGACAATATCTTCAGCGCCATGCCTATTTCACAAAAATACACATAATGGGAGGAAGTGGTCCTATAACCAATGCTCAAGTAACCGGTTTTCTCAATCTCTCTTTCCTAGTTTCTTTTAATTCCATAGTAATTTTTACTACGGACTACTTCATTTACTTGTACAATACAGACCTTATATCGGGTGAGACTTGTCGAAAGGTAATGTTGACTGGTATTTCCAGAGGTCCATGTTTTGCCCAATTCATGTTTCATTTAGTTTACAGGATTTTTGAGATTGATCACAGTTTATAATCTTCTTTTTCATTAAGAGTTTAGAACGAGGTTTATATTTCATTCATAGATGGATGGTGTATACATAAAAATTACATACATGTAAATCAAGAATTGTTGCTTTTAGATGGTTCTAGCTGCGATGTACTGAAGTGTTTTAGTGATGCTGGAATAAATCTTAGCGATCTGAGCGAAAATCCAAGAAACATAAGCTGGTAAACCCTTCTCTCTCAGGAGAATATATCGATATTTATTTTTTCACATTTAGTCGATTTTATGAAAGTTAAAGTTCTGGCTTTGTATTTAACGAATAAATCAAAAGATCAGTCTATGTAAAATGACTTTAAAAAAAATTAGTTTAATTAAAAAATTATTTAATTACTGATATCAGATTATGTTTTGTGTTTTGCTCTTTCATGCAATTATTTTGTCAAGAAAAGGAACCCAAAGAGATCTTTGGGTTTTTTTTAAAAATTACTTTTAATACTTGGTTAATTAAATTCAAAATATTGGTTATTTGGTCTAATTGAAGTTTTAAAAGTTTATTGAATTGATTTTTTTTTATTGTCAGTCCGACCTTTTGGTTATTGAAACCTTGCTTTGAGAGTCAGAGAAGTTCATGCCAAGGAAACCAGCTATACACAGTAGCAGATAGTTATCGTCCGCAGTTTGAGAAAAGGTGCCCCCAACAAAGCTCTCCAGGTAGCATTTATAAAGAGAAGTTATTAGTGGTCGCTAAAGCTAATCATAAACTTTTAAACATATATTCTGTTAGAGGAGTTTTGTATTTGAATATGGAATTTGTTTTTCAAGTTTGATAGTTTTTTTTTATTTTCGCGACAGGGCATGCACCAGAAATAAGCCTATATCTTAATCAATGTATTACGTTTAAAAAAAATATCTGAAGTACATGTACAATAAATTTAATTAAATACAAGGAAATAATTCTGAAGTAACTTCTTTCTTACATGAAAAAAAAGAATTAGTTTTATCATTAAGTACGTGTACATGGTTAATATAGAGGAACACGTTTAAGAATCTATCACGGCATAAAATGCCCTTTTTAATCTTGTATTAGTGTGCCCTCTTTTAGATCTAGAAAAACACTATTTATGTAACTAAAAAAGATAAAAAAAATAGATATTTGAAACAAATAATCCTCGTTACGTTCCACATCAATTTTAAAATGGCATAATATAAATAATGATTCTTCTTTTTTTCAACAAATGTAGAACTCAAGACAACAAAAATTCCAATGGCTTTCTTTCTGTACATGTACAGAGTAATAAAGTTGCAAAATCTTATATCGAGATAAAGACAGTTGTTTGAATATTATACATGTAGTTGATGTTTATTTTGACAGTTGGTGGTACCCCAGCTCTTGCAGCTAACTGGATCCTTCTATGTGTTGTTCTGCTTGCAATGGTGGCCATTTTTCAATAAAATCAAATGCCTACGTTTGGCATTGGTATATCTGCGGAACATTCCACAAAACCTGAATTATTGATAAAAGTGTCTCAAAATTTGTATCTTATTTTTCAAGTACATTTTCAATATTCAGTATGAGAGATATGTGAATGAATGAAATTGAACAAATATACAAAACGTAAATAGAAAATTCATGCCTCTGTGAATAGGAATTACTAAACATGTATTACGACAAAAAATCATGATATAGAATAAGAAGAAATGGGAAAACAGTTTATATAAAAATTTCTTTTAAAAGCATTTGTTTAAAATACATATACATTTGTTTAGAAAATACATATAGATGTACAGGGTGTTTCATAATATATGTTACATTTTGAATATGGGTGAATTCAAAAAAAATGACCAAATGCATATTTATCAACCCACAATAAAAATACAGGCAATAAAAATAGATTTCTATGTCTCAGCATATGTCTTTAGATAGTGTCTAAATACCTGCCAAATATCGCATTGATATCTCAATTAACAAAAAAGTTATGCCCAAAAATGATGCTAAAATTGTCAGGAGTGCAACACCTTTTTGTGACATTTTGAAATTTCAATATTTTTTGGAGATCTGTGAAATAAATAATAATGCTTTATGTTGAAAATAAAGACTTTCCTGATAATATTCAAAGTATTGAGCTTTAAATATGGACTGTAGTAACTTTTGTTTAATCAAGTTGTGGTCATGGCTGATGTTTAAAAAAATGTTATACCGTGTCAGGAGTGCAACAGAAAAAATGTAGTGATGCCAAAAAAACCTCAACTGTAAAATTCTGAAAGAAAATTAAGACAAAAAAGAATTTTCGAAGTATAAAACAATAACTGATATATATTTTAAAACTTAAAAATGTTATATATATCACAAGCAGCATTAATGAGAGTCAAGTATATGTGTATACCCAATAATGTCAGGAGTGCAACATTTGATGTTTTGCTCCCAAGCATGAAAAAACTATTATCATTATATGATTTTCTGATCTTTATTTTGGAATATAAAGACACAAAGAACATTTTTACCAAATAGATTTATCAATTACAGGATCTGTCTGTGCTTCAGGTCTATATTTCTATGGTCAGGAGTGCAACGCATTTGTTTAAAGATTCAAATTGTGTGACGAAAACACTTCTATTCACGCTTAAAAGTATTTATTAATCAATAATGATCTTTTTGTATAATTTAATACTAAATTATTGACAGTTTTATTATTGAAATCCTTCCTTTTTCAATTTTATCAATTCAGATGTGTTTTTATCTTTTTTGTGATTTTTTTAATGAATGTTAAAAATAAACACACTAAAACATTGTCATAAGATTCAAGTAATTTCTCCTCAACTTCACTGAAGCAACAGAACAAGTTCTTATATAATTTTCACTTCACAATTCTACTTTAAAGGCCCCAATGCTTTTGGTCAGGAGTGCAACAAATATGTTAGAATTATAAATCATTCAATAAGAATAAAAATAAAGAAAAAATGATGAGTAGAATTTTTCTGGTGGGTTACTGTGTTTGTCCTCTAAAAGAAAATATGCTATAAAATATATTTTATCTTCTAAATATACATTTAAGCTAGTTTTTTTGGCATAAATAGGGAATAATTCCAGATAAAATGCGAATTTTAAATACTTTCATCTGTTTTAATACTGAAGTATTGGACTATAAATATTGCACAATTTCATTACCACTTGATGTTGTCAACACTTTATGAATTTTTGTGTACTATGGTTTTAATTTTAAATTTTACTGCAGTCAGGAGTGCAACAAAACTGCTTTATAATTACCAATGCTTTTTAAATATCTTTACTAAAAAACAAGTTGAAAAAAAATGTTTGATACTATTTGATGTTCAAAACACTATGTCTATCAACAAATTACAGAAATTTTACAGTCAATTCAGGGAATAGTTTTCATCATTTCACATATATTTTTAAATACAATTTATATATATTACACTTTGCAAATAATCCTGTTTTAAGGTCTTCAAAAAATGAAAAACCTGCCATAAACGATGAAAAATATCAAAACAACAAAGTGATTTACAAAGTAAGAATGGGTTATTGTGTGTTATAATTTTTAAAACAATGTTAAATAATATACATATCAGATGTCAGGAGTGCAACACAATAATGTGACATAGGGTCACTTCAAAATCTAGTATTTTTTGTAAGAGAACTCATATATAAAATTTCTTTTTTGGCTTAGATTTAAAGAAGTGACTTGAACGGACAAAACAGTGAATTTTGGGGAATTTTATTGCTTCATATTTTTTTCATATTAAAACTTTTCAAACCAGAATAGAAAAAATTATTGTAAAAACAACAATCAAAAAGCCATTTTTTGTCACATGTACAAGAGAAGATACTCAATCAAGGTCTAGATTTAATCATTTATACCCCTTTTACTATTTTGAAGCATAAAAAACTATAATTTCTTGTGATAATGTATTTTAGAAAGTCTTTTAAGGTGTAATGATATTTTCTTTTTTCAAAAGAAATTTTACTAATAAAAATTCTGAAACTTTTTAATCCAATTGTCTATTCTATTGCCACTTCAGGATTTTAAACTAGAATGTATGTGCAGTATGATGATACAAGTGAAACATATGTTATAAGTAGTTGAATTTTTCCAAAAAATTTCAGTTTGGTGGTCATTTTTTTTGAATTCACCCATATACAAATTGACTAACACAAGAAAAAATACAGACAAGTCTTTTCAACAATTTAATGCATGGGTCCATTAGATTCATTATGCACAATTATCAACCAAAATATTTAACACTGGACGAAATCTAAACCATTACTGAAAATTAGCAAAATTTATAAATTGCGTCATTTTTGTTAAGTTGAATTTCACAACGTAAAAAGCTCACATTACGTATCTCCGCCTATTTCAACTGCGTGAGAAAAATGCTTCTTGAATTCTTCAAACCTTCCTCACACATTTTTACTGGTGAGACACTCCTCATTTGAAGTTTTATGTTCTTCATGAGCTTATTCAGTATCTGTGATCTATACAGTAAAACATAAGAAAAACTTCTATAGCGCATTATAGTATAGACTCGAGTGTGCTTAACATTAAAATACACATAAGCATAAAAAATGGAGAACTCATAAGTACAGGTTCTTAAAATTTAAACGTTTCAAAAATTGTAATTTTATATTAGTGACTTTCGCGCATTGTACAGTACACTAGTAACTTTTTATGGGCTTTTAGTATATAAGGTCTTTTAGTTATCCTATATTTTTTACGCATATGGAAAATCTTTTCCTAAATGTTTAAAAATTTTTGAGTCGGGCCATTTTTAGTCAGTCGGTCAGGAGAGGGCAAAAAGAAAACTCATTAAAGATGTTGTTATGTTTTTAACTTTTCGATAGTTGAGGATAACCATCTTTTAAATTTTAATTTTGTTTAATGTCCTTATTTTCAAGTGGAAGAGGGTGAGTTGGGTGGATGAGGATTGTGCATCCCTTGATTTTATTTGCCTTCGGTAAAAAAATAGTTGTGTTTTTCCTGTATAAATTGCCGAATTAAAGCACAAGGTAAATTTGACAGCGATCATATTAGTTCAAAAGAGCTGAAAAAACTTTTGGAAGAAACCCCTTTGATGGGGGCGTTATATATTTTGTTCTATCTGTATTCAGAGGTTCTTTTGATACTCTTTTCTCCAACAAAACATTTCTATGTGTTGATTTTCTTTCAACCATTTTTCTTGACATTGTATAAGTTATCTCTTAAAATTTATTTTGGGTTGAAACCGCGTGTTCAGTTTATTTTCTAGTGTCTCAATGAAAGATGTTAGTGTTACTGGTCAGAGACAAGAAGAGCTTATGCATCAGTGAGGTATCCGTCTTACGTCCATCTTAAAGAATTTTTCTAAACGCTTCTTCTAATACAATTTTGGTTCGCGTTTCAATAAGACTTATTACACAAGTGGATAATACTAAGATACAAAATTTTATTTATCCTTTTTTTGATTTCATTGATCGGCTTTACCATTGTAACTGATCCATAATGGTGCAAACATATTGCTAGATACGGGCGATTGTAGGCATAATAAATTTATTGTGCATGTCACAGTTCATATTTAGTTAAATATTTTGTTAATATTTTTTATTTGATTAGCGTGCATTGCTTTTCAAACAAATTTTACGATGCCTTGATAACTGTCTTTATTTTATTTCATAATATTGGATACCTGGTAAGATTCATTTCTAATAATGTAAATACTTTTGTAATGAATTTTGATGATACGTAACACATCTTTATTGGCAGTGACGTGAATTTCTCATGTTGTATTATTTGTAACTTTGTTTAATGTGCTATACTTGTCTCTTGTTTATGTGTGTGTGTTGTGAGTGTATTTTCTATGTTTTTTAGGTTTCATTCCTTTTGTTATTCTCATTAAAACTTCAAAAAACGAGAACCGAACCCAGCGTTATATTCTTTAACGATGACCCTGTGAATGCATTCAACTTCCTTCCAATAAGATTGGATTTTTAATCACAACAAAAAAATAGCCCTTTATACGCCAAAACAAGGTAAAATAGATCTGCGTGTTTACCAATAGTCTTCCTCAGCAGCCATGACAGTTATTGCGTTATCTACTGAGACTTGCGCTATAAATTTTAGAAAGCCCTGATATAGAAAATGTTGGTGTTGATAAATGATTGTGTTGCATGGTATCTCAAAAAATCGATAAATAAACACATACCATTGCAGTTATGAGACTACATCTTTCAGAAAATAAAAATTCAATGCTTATGTTAGAAACAAGTTTGCAACAAATTGCCAGTCAGTTCTTCTTTTGAGTCTATGATGTTCTGTTTTTATTCATCAATGGCATCATTTTCAGTTTGGAAAAAAAATCACACATAAAAAAATTAGTGTATTAATTGATTAAAATACCAAGTTTGATTTATATATGTAATGATTGTAAAAATTGAACAATTGCAACGTTGTTTTGAATTGATAATTCTAGTTATAAAAGATTTTTTTCTGAGGAACGGATTTCAAAAATAATTTTAAAAGTCTTTCAAGCTAGTATTTTTTAGGCTACAGAAAAAGTTTGTAATTGCTGAAGTGAACGCTAAAACAAATGTTTTTCTAAACTTCTTATATATTCATCTTGTGATTGCAAAATATGATTAACATGCTGGCTTTTGTGATTGTACATGGCGTCTAAATCCAAAATCATCAATGGTCTACCCTAGAATTTCGGTATGATCTAAAAAGAAAATTGCTGTTGTTTTGAGCATTACTTATTTTCATTTCTCAACCCAGATAAAATGTGTTTGTTTACATAATATAATGCAGAATTTTACAATTACATGT